AGAAAAACATCATTGAGCTATATGAAAGTGGCACAAGTGCGGCCGAACTGGCCAGGATGTATAAGAAACCCTAAACAACCATATGTTCCGTAGTGGCCAAGAAAAAGAAAATCAAGGACGCTGTTGTTGCAAAGGGGGGTAACTATGCTGTCAAAAATGAGATCACCAGTACTCGAAGAGTTTGAGAAGTTATTATTGGTGTGGATAAGAACAATTAGCAGGAGATACTCTTATGACTTCGATTATTTGTGAAAAGGCTAGGCAGTTGCACAACGATCTGGTAAAGAAATTGCCTGCAAATAGTGGTGATGTGAGTGAATTTAAGGCCAGCAAAGGTTGGTTTGAGAGATTTAAGAACCATACTGGCATACACAGTGTGGTAGGGAATGGTGAGGCTGCCAGTTCGTACCACAAGGTGGCTGAAAAATATGTACATGAATTCAAGGAGTACATAGAGGCTGAAGGACTGAAACCTGAACAATTGTTCAATTGTGACAAAACAGGTAGTGTGAAGAATTACCTTCTGGAAAAGAAATGGGATCTCAAGTGCCTGCTAGTAATGGACAATGCACCTGCTCATCCTCTAAACTTGGATGAACTAATTTTCGAGGAGTTTGGGTTCATCACAGTAAAGTTCTTGCCCCCGAATACCACTCCTCTCCTCCAGCCCATGGACCAGCAGGTCATTGCAAACTTTAAAAAAAACTACACCAAAGCAACGTTTCACAGGTGCTTGACTGTGACCACAGACACTCGCTTGACCCTAAAGGAATATTGGAGAGAACACTTCAGCATCCTCCATTGCATAGCCCCTATAGGTATGGCTTGGGAGGCAGTGACTACCAGGACTTTGAACTCTGCTTGGAGAAAATTGTGGCCAGATTGTGTTGACAAGAGGGATTTTGAAGGGGTTGGGACTGACCCTGATGAGCCTATGTCTTGTTAAATCAATTGTGGCACTGGGGAGGTTCCATTTGGGGTTGGATGTGAGTTTGGAGGGTGTGGAAGAGTTGGTTGGTAAGAAACCCCAACGAAGAGCCCCACCCCTGAGGAGCTGCAAGAGCTTCAGCAGGAAGAGCAACAGTTGCAGCTCAGAAACTTGCTGCAGATGGAGGAGGAAAAGAGAGATGGAAAGAAGGTGCCTTCTTCAGAAATTAGAAATTTTTGCTATGTGGTGTAAAATGGAAAGCTTTATGGAGAAACATCCCCTACAAGGTTGTTGCAAGCCATGTTGGCAACTGTACGGCGTTTGGGCCATTTTAGGGAAGTGTTTTAAAGGGGA